ATGCTCAGCACACTGAAAATCGAACAGATGTTTACTGCAAAAGATTTTCAGAATATTAACCTAATACCATGACAAACTGCGTCATAAATGGGAATGCATTAGGAAGGCTTGTGTTCCGTTCCCCCCTGAACGATGCACGCTGCTCAGAAAATAAATATCAATTCTCCCAACAGCTTTCTCGTGTTCACTCCGCTGTGGCGTGTGCAGGGGAACAAGTGACAACTTTTAATGACTTGATGCGCTACAACGTCTTTTAGTAGGCTCTTTTAATTTGACCAAATTAACAATGGATTTAGGTCTAGCTACCATTTTAGCACAGCTTTTTGAGTGACCTGAAAAGCAGCCCAACTGCTGCATTAGTGGCCTCGATTTGATTTAACTGGGAAAAAAAAGAAAAAATTTGTAGGCCATGCCAACTTACAGTCATTTATGTCCATCATCCCCCTCTTGTTCTCTCTCTCTCTCTCTCTCTCTCTCTCTCTCTCTCTCTCTCTCTCTCTCTCTCTCTCTCATCCACTTTCACACACTCCACCCTTCTCTCCTCTCTGCTAGTATGCACTCACTCAAACTGTGTCTCATCGCATTTCATCACTCTCTGCCGCTCTCTTCCCCCTCTGCTTGTCTCCATCTCACATGCACACAAAAAGAGGCATACCAGCCCGCGGCAATGTTGGATATTATTTGATAGAATCTGTGCTTTTACTGTACGTCTTGTGTCACAGTTTGATCGTTTGTGTTATTTTCTTTTTCCAGCTCATTAGTTGGTACACTGCATTTACTCCTGAGTTTGGCAGACTAATCTACAAAATGGTCTCATTAAACCTCAAACAAATGATGTTTTAGGTTTCTCTTTGTCTGCTGTCACAGATAGAAAAGATATCCAAACAGAACTTTGGTATTTCAAGGACGGGCCATTTCTGTCTTCCTCGTTTGCGCAGCTACGTTTTGCAGAATGATGGCATGAGGCTGAAGGCCATTTATAATAAATAGCGCAGTCCAGTATTAAATATCTGCTCAGTCAGAGGGGCTAGATTGCAGCATATTGCATCAAGGGAAGGATGAAGGCAGTATGTGGGGAACGACGGGGGAAAAATATAATTCCCATCTTTCCGCAGAGTTTGCCAGGAAGCTGTGACTTTTCAGCTCGTGTGTGGGCTCACGAATAATGAAGTCAGTGCTTTAAAGTTGTTGCAGCAAATGTGAGTTATTATGGCAATGTCTCAGATAGGGGGTCGAAGACAAAAAGTTGATGCCGCTGCAGCTGAAGTTCAAGGATCAAAMCATAAAAGCTACGCCCGCGATCGCATATCAACAGACTCCTTAGCTGAGAAAACGGATAAAGTGGCAGAAGTCTATATTTAAACCACATCACCAGAGAGTTGTTGTCATTGCCGCAGCTGTAAGCTGCAAAAAGAAACCCAAATCTTTCATGTCTCTGAGTTGTTTGACTTCTTTTAACATATAGCATTTTAGAAAGTCGTGTTTACAGCAGACGTGTTGTTTCTGACAAATTTGGGGTGAACAGCATGTGCCTATTTTTGTGTCAGAGGAAGTAAACACTTATTTGTTTAACCTCCTAAGTGGACTGATTTATAGCAATAAGCATCAGTGTTGGAACAGAATCTTTGCGCTTTGGAAAAAATCCCAAGGAATCATCTTTTTTTTTGCTCTCAGAGTTTTGTCAGTTAAAATAACGTCTCTGTGCAGAATCTGAAGCAAGTTTAGTTTATTCTAGTGCAAAAATTTWAAACGAATCATGAATGAATGTAAAAAAAAATCCTCTGATTTTCATGATGGGAGTGAGTGAAAGAAAAGTTTTAGTCAGATTGTCATGTCCAAATTTAGATAAGCTATTAACGGCAGAATAAGTTATTTTTGGGAAACGACAGCATCACTGTCAAAGCTAGTGTTCCTTGTTCTGCTAACATTTTGTTTCTCATGAGTCAGATCTTAAAACTCCCACTGCAGAAGCTGTCATTACTGTCTACAGAGCAATCCCTCTCAAAGTGCCACACTTCTCCCCCTTAAAAATACAAGAGCGCTGTGCAGATCTATCTGACATGGACTTTTGACGTCAGTTAAAGCCTCCGCCGCATGTCGAAAATACCCCGCTATCCGCTCTAATTACACCTTACGACTCACTTCCCCTGAGGRGACAGGCCAAGGAGAGAGCGCCAAACCCTCTTTTCACCTGCCCTGCGGCTCACAGTCATGCTACACATTCTGAACTGTTTGGGGATAGTGAGGCTGGCACAGGCTCAAGCTAACCAGGGGGGAGACTTACCACCCGGCCTGTTGTAATTCCACACACAACGTGACTTGCTACTATCACTGGTGCGAAGCCAGAAGACATTCATTAACAGGAAGTAACAAAAGAAATGATCTTGCTTTTTGCAACTGTTTGTTACTGGAGTCACAAGCACACAGAATTATGCAACAGTGTGGCTCATCTGTGATTTTGTTAATCTGTTAATGATTTTTAACTGATTAAAAATAACTAATATTAAAAAACAAATACATGTATATTCTGTAAAATTGTAACACTGATGCCACATCAGTGTTGGTGGGAACATGTCATTTCACAAATATGGGCTTTAAAAGTCAGACTTTAATTTGCACTTAACACAACATTAGTCAAAATTAAATGTAGTTTACCATTAACACTCGAAAWGCAGATACATATAGCATTCATAATGAAAATGAACCAGTAATATGATTATCCTCTGCAGACATGTTATAACATGTAGCACAGTCAAAGTTTACATACTGATTGTCAAATGGTTTTATACTGAACATTTTAATCTATATCAGCCAAATAATTTCCTCACATATGAAGCAATATTAAATAAAAAAAACACCCTCAAAGTTGTGGCTACTTTGACACAACATGAATATTTACACTTCTCCATAAGAATCAGGCTTTTAGATAGGATTGTGGAAGAAGACGTCAACAGTTTAAGCCAACTARCCCCCACCCCACCTCCCACTTACAAAGCTTACAGAAGTGTCCCAGCAAGAAGGTCGCCGGCTCAAATCCTGGCCCAGGTACCTTTCTGGGTAGAGTTTGCATTTTCTCTCCYTGRATGTGTGGGTTCTCTCCGGGTACTTCGGCTTCCTCCCACAGACCAAAAACATGACTGTTAGGTTAATTGATAACTCTAAATTGTCCCTAGGTGTGAGTGAGAGAGTGAATGCTTGTTTG